ACTGAAAATATCAACAACTGAAATTGTGATGCCATTCCGTGAAAAAAAGGCGAAAATCTGATCGAACGGCCTGTCAAACGTAAGAAACGCTTAGTTTCGTTATGTATGTATAAGAGATCGTGCTCTGTACTGAAGCAAAAAAGAAGTGAAGCAAAGTACAGTTTATACGGCATGGACCAACTAACGAAACATCTATCTTTCGACTACAGACTAAAAATACAGACTCCGCTACAGACTCCAAATACTTTCAATCGCGGCAATGAACCAATAACTAGAGTTACACAACAGCACGTAAGCATACATGGTCATAGCAAGTAAAATTGGTTCTGTAGGTTGAGCTGACATAGAAAGAGGAATTTCCTTACCTCGAAGACACTCTTCCGGCTGAACGCAGTGTATGGTTTAAAGTTGTCGTTCTTCAGCTTGGCGTAGCATTTTTCGCAAACACGCGCCTCCTTCTTTCCTTCAGACAGTACCACTTTGTTGCTACAGCATTTGCGACACACAATCTATATTCAAAGTAAGACAGGAAAAGGTCCTGTTATATGGCAACTGACCACTCCACAGGATCGGCAGATGTACTCGCGCTTGAACGTGTTGAAAACGGACGTGCAAAACGAACACGATTTAGGCGATGATTTGGTCGACTTCTTCACGTTCACATCAGATATATCCTTTGAGGAAAAGGTCTGAGGTAAAGGATACTTGTCCGGTCATTAAAATGCTTACCTTTTCTGGCCGAATAAACGACTGCATTCGGTCACGGAAATCCCGTATGACGAACCACAAGGCATCCATCCATTCGTTCTTTTCATGGACGGTCGACGCACACAGTTCGATGAATTTATTCCTGCTCCGCACCGAAAACGTGTTTTCCATCTCTAGGTTGTCTCCCTCTAGCACCTGCATGGCGTCTGCTTCAAACAGTGATCTGAGTTTATATTTGCTCAGAGGCACTTTTCTTTCAGCACAGACGAGGAGCATGTCGTTGAACTGGAGGCAGGTAGTTGAGGTAAATTATGCATTTCATAAGCGCTTTGCTTACGAGGAATAAATATCGGCTTTGTAGTTCGTTGTTTCGTGACGAAATTTTGGTCATGCGACCCTGCTTCACCAATTCTCGACTTGGACTCAGAAGATCAGATATTTGGCTTCCAAGCATCTCTTGCACTTCAATCACGTGCTTGTATTTATCCTAAATTACGGTTCGACGTCGTCTGAATTTCAAGACATCTGAATAAAGAATTTACCAATTTTCTCATCATCTCGTTGGCATGACTAGCGGCTGTCTTAACGAGCTGAACCGCTTCTATGCAATAACTCTTACTAGAATGCCACCCTGAAGACGTAAAACAGCTTACTTTCAGTGTCTTCTTTGTCGTGGTGGCCTGGTTCCAGATTCTTGAAATACTCTAAAGAGATTTTTTCTTCGTGATAATGAGCGAATCACCTCAAGTACCTTGCAGTAGAAGGTGATACCGCATTACCCTTTGAACGGGACATATTATGTGGCTTGCCAGAGGTAAATTGTCACATTCGGGTAAACACTGAAATGCGAGCATTTATTCATCGTCCATACCTCAGAAAACAGTTACAAACCTCCGTGGCAGCTACAACAGCTCCAAACTTGCGACTCTTTTTCTGAAGATCCGCAAATACCTTCATCGCCCGGTTGTAGTTATTAGTATACTCGCTGTACATTTTGAGAAAGGGAGCGAGCTGGCAAACTACGTCACTCATCTTTTGCTGTTGTTGCCTAGAAGACGATTTCTTGAAGAAAAACAAACACAATAAAAAAGACATAGATAACGCGAACCAGTTGTCGATTCGACTCTGCAGCTGTGGCAAAAAGTGGTCTCTGTGAAACGCGTGCAATGAGCTGAGGTTGGAAAACAATTTGGACATTTTATCAGTTGAAAGGAACGTGCTCTGGGCGTTAGCCTCGATCAACTTGTTCCGGAAAATCTACGAAAAGAACAGTGTTACACTTCTTCGTCATAGGGGTTAAGTATTGAAATTAGAACGACAAAACGCCATAAACGCGTGCACATAAATGCGGCTTATTCCATTTATACACAAAATAAACATAATTTGAAGATTCCGGAGATGATGTGCTAACAAAAATAAATACTTTCTCACATTAAAATTCTAACAATCACTTTGAGTATCCAAAAAATTGATTACCTTTTCGCCTTTTACTGTGTTACTACAATTAATAGCGGTTGGCTATCCACAGAACTAATTCCTAATGCCGAATTTATTCTAACAGGGTCCAGGTAAAACCTGATTCACTATTAACACATCAACGAACAGATTGCACGAAAATATTAAGTTAAGATTTGAAAAAAATCGTTTATCACCTCATCGAGAAGACGTAGTTTCAACACGTATCTTCTTTCGGAATCGACAAGCTCCTTGGCTGCACAGAACGCCTGCTTTTGTTTCTTCGTAGGTAGACGCGCTGCGAAGGAATCTATGGGTACCACGGCGCCGGATATGTCAGAAACATCAGAAGAGTCGGACATCATTGAGACGGTGTCGTCATCGTCCTCGCTCTCGGACTCGATCGCGTTGTCGTCCACCATCTCCAACTTCACCTGACACTTGCCGTTCGGTCCCAGGTACTCGACGACAGCCCTCAGCGAGCTGGAGGTCGTCACCCCGTTGACCGTGCTGCGCATGTGCCGAAAAGACATCGCCTGCTGACTGCGCGTCGTCTTGATGTGCGTCACCGTGCCATCCGGGTTGATGACGGTTTGCACCGTCTCTTCAGCAGGTACTCGAATGTTATTGAGATGCGGGAAAATCTTCTGAAACTCCTCCTTCTGTTGACGCAACAACATCTGGAAAGTACTCAGGGTCTTATCCACTGACTCCTAAAAACTCCAATGGCATCAAAAATCGTTTCGTCTGTGTAGCACCATAAGCGTCGTTTAAGGCTGTCTCGCCATAGACTTTACACTTTATAATGCATAATGCACAGCTCGCACTTGCGACTCAGTGAGTTTCGCTAGGAGGCTCAACGTTTTCGGCTCACGGCCCTAAACCATTCCTTAACATACAGAAGGCGAAAACAGACAAACGGATATAATCACAGAACGTGATACAAAAAAATTCAATCCTCAAAGGCAGGACTTAAGCTTCTCCGCTTTGCTGAATAAAACATCCCTAAGCACAATGCAATTCGACTGTTAGAAAAGGAATTAAAAGTAACTTCATTTGTTACAGAACAGTTGACGATAAACGTATGGCGTCCTAAAGCATCGGACTCATGGTTCAAGAATGCACACTTGGTTGTACATATGCATACAAGCGCCCTGAAATTCTCTAAAGTTCATACCACCAAAATCCTAAATCCTCTAAAGCTGATTCGAACATACCTGATTCTTTCATGTGCTGAAGGAGGTCGTAAAACATATTTCAGTAACTTTCGCCCTTAACAGTTTTAGACAATCTCTTGAAATCCTCAAATATCAGTAGATTACGAATTTATCAGACCAACGCTTATATACGATCTGCAGACAACACACGTAATACTATCTGACGTATGACTCGAAATCTCTATCAGCATCTAAGCCCTTGTCAACGACTACTGTTAACCGTGTCTTTTTCGTTAAGATCCCACATTTGGTGAAGTTCTGTAGTTCAACGGCCCGAATGCTTCCAGAATGGAAGGCGAAGCAACTTTTTCTTGCCCAGTCGATACGACACAACGAATGGAAGATCGAAAGTGGAATTCGAAATTGACGATTTCAAATAAAGCATTGTTTTAGCCACCCGCTTTGTTGGAAATTACTGGAATATTTATCGGCGCGATAAAAAGTAAGTACAGTAAGATCTACAGTCTAACAGCCGTAACTTCCAA